TTACCATAAAAGTACAATTGTAATATTAATGTCATACCTATGTAGTTATGTATATAAAAAAACTTCAAATTTGCCGAATAAACAGAACAGTGAGTTGGAAAGATGCTGAGTGTATCTTTTTGTGTCTGTTCCCTACTGCAGTGGTTATTAATTTGGAACCACTAATCAATATGAGGATAGGAGTTGACTATCTATAACATTTTCAGTATTAATGTCAAGAACAGACCCATCGCACTTAAAACGACACAACTGTTATTTCAAAGGTTTTGCTGGTTCGTCCGATAACGTCACAGTTTATTCTTCTTCCCAGTCAGCAATGGTGGGCAGTTCTTGTTTCTTCAGTGCACTAATACTCTGATCCAAGGCTATGTTATGACGCATCCCAAGGGGGAAGGTCCATGATTGCCTGGGATCAAAGGAAGTGGGAATAATGATGCTGGTAGCCATTTAACCCGGAAGTCTATGGACATCTAGTGGCAGAAAGTAATTACTGCAGGGACAGCTTTTTATTATTTTTACCGTTTCTGGACTGTTGCGTTTATTAATTTATTTTTGTTGCCTTTCTTTTTCCTTTTTAAAACTGCATGCTCCAGGTCTGTGGTCCCAATCCTGCCATTATTATTTACAGAGCCATTAATGTGACAAAAACATGCCAGGCAAGATGCTGTTATCACTTAAAGCAGAAATTAAGACAAAAAGATCTTGGTCCCTATGACCTGTAGATAACAGTTCTTTGGGGGGATTCCCCCGTGCGGGTGTGCATGCTGACTGGAGAGGCTGCACTCACAATGGGGGGCACCATTTTACCTGACTGATGTGGGAGGAGAGAGTCAGGCTTTTGTGGTTAAAAAAGTAAAAAAAGGAACAAGAATGCAAAAATGACCATCTATATGCAAATCTTGTAAAAACATCAGATCAGTACTATGGACAGTGCAAACACTACACTTCTAATTCTTGTTTGGCAAGTAAAATAGCTCTTAGTTATTGTATATCTGTATAATTTACTGTAGCTATTTGCCTGAAGTTCAGGTTTAGCAATTCACCAGGTTTTTCCCCAGTGAGTGCAACAGTTATGAAATGTTTACTTCAAATGCATGTAAACTGATGCAGAAAGTATGTACAAAGATAAGATCAGTGTGGTTTGAGGAGATCAGCTGACACACACTAAAAAGTAGATGTGCTCCTCAAATGAGCTAAATATTGATTATTTGTAAACTGGTTGAACATTGACCAGCTTAGGACTAAATCATACTAGTATGAGAATGCCTTTTACTTTTCCTAGGGATTATGCACATGGAGGTATAGTTTTGTGTACATGCATGCATACAGCATATAATGCACCTGCCCCCTTAAGTACTTCATTTCTGGGATGCAGGTTGCTCCAGCTGCCTAGCATCATTCATTGTTAGGGTGCAGGTGTCTCTTGCTGCCTAATTTCATTTATTGCTAGGATGCAGGCAGCTCTTGCTGCTTAGAAGCCTTCAGCCTAGAGTCCTTTGTTGATAGGACACAGGCTGCTCTTGCCATTTACTGTCCTTTTGTTACTAGGAAGCAAGCGGCTCTGCTACCTAGCTTTCTTTATTGCTAGGATGGAGGCAGCTCTTGCTGCCTAGCATCATTTGTTACTGGGATACAGAGGGCTCCTGCACACTAAACTTTCTTTGTTGCCAGGGAGCAGGCAACTCTTGCTACCTACTGTCCTATGTTGCTCGGACACAGGTGTGTTTGCTGCCTAGCATCTCGTTTCTAGGATGCAATTGGCTCTTGCTACTGTGCAGAAGACTCTTACCACCTAGCATCCTTTTTTACTAGGAAGTATGTGGCTTTTGTCGTTTAGCATCCTCTGTGGCTAGAACGTAGGCAGCTGTTGCCATCTAACATCATTTGTTGCTAGGGCACAGGCGTCTCTTGATGCCTAGATTTGTTTGTTCCTAGGATACAGGCAGCTCCTGTTGCCTAGTGTCGTTCGTTGCGGGACACAGGCAACTCCTTCCACCTAGTGTTCTTCTTTGATAGGATGCAGGAAACCATTCAGGGCAACATGTCAATAGAAAGTTATCAAACTAATTACTGAACACTGCACTAGTTTCCTGATGTTTACTCAAATGTGTGTATGCGCCCGTAGAAAACAATACACCTGTGTTAAACATATGTAAAAAAAACAAAACGCTGTACTGTTTTTGTTTTATGATTGTTCTTTTACTGCGGAGTGGGAACATCACCTGACAGTCTGAGTAGCAGATGTGCTCATTAGATGAGAAGGCTATAGGTGTTCAGTCATACAGGTGCGATTTCAGGTGCGGTCTGCAAATTGAAACCTTATCTATGTTACATAGTTACATAGTTAGTCTGGCTGAAAAAAGACAAAAGTCCATCCAGTTCAACCATAAGAAAAAAAAAGTTATAATCCTACACCCACAGTTGATCCAGAGGAAGGAAAAAACCCAGCAAAGCATGATCCAATTTGCTCCTGCAGTGGAAAAAAATTCCTTCCTGATCCCCCAAGAGGCAATTGAATATTCCCTGGATCCACTTTACCTATAAATGTTAGTATCCAGTTATATTCTGTGCATCCAAGAAAGAATCCAGGCCTTTTTTAAAGCAATCCACTGAGCTGGCCAGACCCAACTCTTGAGGGAGTCTATTACACATTTTCACAGCTCTTACTGTGAAGAAACCTTTCCATGTTTGGAGATTAAATTTCTTTTCCTCCAGACGTAGAGTGCCCCCTTGTCCTCTGTGATGACCTCAGGGTGAATAACTCTACACCGAGTTCACTATATGAACCTCTGATGTATTTATACATGTTTATCATATCCCCCCTTAATCTCCTCTTCTCAAGAGAGAATAAATTCAGTTCCTCTAATCTTTCCTCATAGCTGAGCTCCTCCATGCATCTTATCAGTTTGGTTGCCCTTCTCTGTACTTTCTCCAGTTCCCCAATGTTCTTTTTGTGAATTGGTGCCCAAAACTGAACTGCATATTCCAGATGAGGTCTTACTAATGATTTGTACAGGGGTAATATGATATCTCTCTCTGTAATCTATATCTCTTTTAATACAAGAGAGGATTTTGCTCGCTTTAGAAACCGCAGCTTGGCATTGCATGCCATTATTAAGCTTGTGATCTACCAGAACTCCCAGATCCCAGATGTGAATGTCAGTGTCACAACATGTGCGAATTACTGCAGCACGTTTTCTAAAGTAGTTCTTGCATTATTTTTTCTGCAGTTTTGTTGCAATTTCACATACATAGAGTATAATGGAAATCGCACTGCAAATTGCAAGAAATCATTGAAAATTTTATCAAGTAGCAATAAAATCTTTAAAAAACGAGCTGAAATTGCACACAAATCGCGTGAAACATTCGTTTGTTGGTCGAAATCATGGCCCACATTAACCAATCTAAAAAAATCATTCATTGTGCAATACATAGTGTTGACATCTTCCATACAAGTTGAAGTGATGCAGTGTGCGTGTGACCTTGTAGCCACGCCTTTCGGGCCAGAACAATCGATATACACAATTAACAGAAATGAGTATAATATAGTTTATTACATTACCTATATACATAAATAGTGATACATAAAATCTAATATGCAGAATTCTGGTTTCATTATCTCATTAGGACAATCTACTTTTAACATTTGGATTTTTTGTTTGTGTTTACGAATATTCCTTGGACATCCGCGTCATCTTCTATTTCCGCTCATGCATGATAGCGCTTGATAGATTTTTTTTCGTACGACCGTCATAGAAAATCGGTTGTTCGTTCGTATGCAAAATGACAACATTTTTCACTGTTGTTCAACCTGATTTTTTCCTTTACAATATCGTTATCGGTTAAAACATCCTGCTCATTAATGAAGAGAAAATAGTTTGATCAGTGGTTCCGCTAAATTTTTCGTACGAATTTCTTATCATGTGTACGGGGCATTAGGCCATACATTATACAATTTTCTTGAGAATGTTGGTTTAGATTTACCAAAAACCATATATGAGATCAAACCTAAACACTTTCAATTGTATCCAATTAGGCAGGCCTATGCACTATATAGTTGATGGTAAATCTAAAGGAAATAGGGTAGAAATTGGACAGAAAATTGTATAGTGTGTGGCCTGCCTTAATTGCAGAATGCATATTGGTTTTCCTACTCATTTTGTCTACTATTTGGAAAGGGTAACAGATAAACTCAAAAAACACTCATTGTTTTGCAGTCATCACATCCAGCATTAAGTCTGGTCTTCAGATCCTGCTTCCTATGAATGGCTATTATATTGTACAGACATCCCGGGCTGTGGGCGAGACTCACTAAGTTCTAAGGAAAGTACCATCAGGATGACTTTGCATAAAAGCCTGATGCAATCACAGCTCAATCCCCATGGTATGATTCAGAAAATGTGTTCTGCATTCCAGAGCTGAGATTAATGTGGCGGTGTGATAAAGCTTGTTGATTAATCTCTGATCCCAGGTAGCAGTGCTGCCAGTATAACCCGAGTTTGATCAGTACAGTACATACCGGCACACACATGGGCACCAACAGAGCCGCCTTATTTACAGAAGGGTGACGCTCGCTTATTGCTTGGGCTCTTGAGTTCTTGGCAACAACACCAGCAACTAGAGGAAAAGGGATTCTGGGTTTTACTGAATAGATTTTATCCTCTTTTCTGGTTATGTACTACAGTGTTGCACTAAGACACAGGTGTCAAACTGGCGGCCCTCCAGTTGTTGCCAAACTACAAGTCCCATGAGGCATTGCAAGATTGACAGTTACAAGCATGACTCCCAAAGGCAGAGGCATGATGGGACTTGTAGTTTCGCAACAGCTGGAGGGCCACCAGTTTGACACCCCTGCACTAAGTATAACTAAAGGCAAAAGTTTTTTTTTTTTTAGTTTTGGATAGAGCTGAGAGGGATTAAAACACCTGTCTAGTTTGTATTGCTGTCTGTGCTGCCATTAGGGAGATTTACCCTCTATTTGACCTGTTTATCATTATCACCCGAAGGTGAAAGTCAAAGAAAATCCCAAATTTTGGGTTGTCACCAGAACAGAAATAGTGGGGAAATGTCCCAATGGGGACACTAGTTCTGGTTTCCTTATTGACATTGCTTCACTTTGGAGGGATTTCCTCTCATTTCCTGTTTTGGCTATGGGACAGGAAATGAAGGGGAATCTCCCCAATGGGACGCAGAGGGCACGAAAAAAAAAACTGACGGGTTATAACCCTCCTTTACTCCATCCAAAATGAAAACAAAGTCTTGCCTTTCGTTCTGCTTTGTGTAACTTAAACTGCACCTGTCATTTATGGCATTGCAGAGGAAGTTTGACACTATCGTTTATCTCTCTCTTTAAAAATACACCCAAACCATTAGATCAATTAGTGTATTATTTTTTTTCTTTTCACTTCTACTATAAGGTTTTATTGCAGTGAGTTTTTCGTGATCTCATGAGGGAGCTTTCTTCTGACTTCCTGTTCCTGTAAAACCAAGACAGGAAGTGAGGGGAATAGAGTCATCTGGACACTAAGGTCACATTCATACTTGTGAATGGGCCCAACACCGATTACATGTGAGAACCCTAGCAGCGTTCCTTACAAATAGCAAGAGGCATCCTCACTGAAAGCAATAGGAGGCTGCCGACTCCTGAAACTAATTGCAGTCGCTTGCATGTAATTGCACATACTGCATCTCATCAGCCCTGCACGTTTGTGGGCGGTGCCTACTTGCTCTGCACACCTTTTTCGTGTGTGTGTGCACATTCGTCAATGCCCGGGACCAGGCAGTACCGCGTTCATGTGGGATCAAATTTATGGCAGCACTGTTACTTAGCCTGGGTTTGCACTGATGCGTTGCGGAATTCGCAGTGTTTTCTGTGCGAATTCCATATCGCATCACAATCGCACCCCATTCATGCAAACAGCTGCGGGTGTATATGTTAACAACTGCCCAAAACGCAGTGCGATGTCCAGAATTGGATGTCATGGATGTGAACGCCCATGCAATCCAATTCTAGTGCAGACCAAAAAAAGGGCTCTGCACCTTTTTGGTGCGGATGCGGTGCGATTGGAGCCATACAAAATGTACGGCTCCAATCGCACCGTACAGAATTCACATGTGATTTGCACAGGAATGTGGTGCGGTTCCTGTGCGAATCACATGCGATATGCCGTACAGCAGAAGTGTGAACCCGGGCTTAGAGATGAACTGTACACCATATGCAGTAGGAAAACGTACAGAGTACCTCGTGAGTAAAACGCGCTAGTCCATGTTACTGCACACCTTGTCTGTGAATAGCTGCATTTAGGAGAGACACCCCTGAGCCTATGCCCACTCCACCTGTCCAACGTTCCTCTGTCACTTCACTCCTAGTGACAGAATGGGGTCCCGCCTTGCACTAGTGTGGACCTCATGTTAGGGTTGCCACCTCATCCCTTTATAACTGAACACATATTAATTACACAGGTTCTGATTAAGGTGGCAATTAAACTCACTTAGTGCCTTATTTGCATTAAATTAGCCTCAGAACCTATGTAATTAATATGTGTTCGGTTTTAAAAGGATGAGGAGGCAACCCTACCTCATGTTTGCACTTAGTTACCTCCTTCTGCTCTCCCGCACCATGTGTCTAGGCTATTGGGTCTCCACAATGTTGGTTCAGTCCCCAGATACGTTTGGGGGAGACCAACCACTAAGGAGGGAGTCAGGACACAGACCCCCCACTACTGGAGGGCCTGTCACAATGCCAGGTACCACGATTATTGATGGCAGCTGTTCTCCTCCTCCACACCTTCTGCCATGTTAACCCTCCATAGTGGCTTTGCTTCTGTACCCCAAGTGCAGAGAAGAGCAACCAAACTGATAAGAGGCATGGAGGAGCTCAGCTATGAGGAAAGATTAGAGGAACTGAAATTATTCTCTTTTGAGAAGAGGAGATTAAGGGGGGATATGATCAACATGTATATATACATCACTGCTTCATATAGTGAACTTGGTGTAGAGTTATTCACCCTGAGATCATCACAGAGGACAAGGGGGAACTCTTCACGTCTGGAGGAAAAGAGATTTAATCTCCAAACATGGAAAGGTTTCTTCACAGTAAGAGATGTGAAAATGTGGAATAGACTCCCTCAAGAGTTGGTTCTGGCCAGCTCAGTGGATTGCTTTAAAAAAGGCCTGGATTCTTTCTTAGATACACAGAATATAACTGGATATAAACATTTATAGGTAAAGTTGATCCAGGGAATATCTGACTGCTTCTCAGGGGATCAGGAAGGAACTTTTTCCCCTGCAGGAGCAAATTGGATCATGAATTCATGGGATCTTTTTGCCTTCCTCTGGATCAACTGTGGGTATAGGATTATAGTTTTTTTTTTTTCTTCCCTTTTATGATTGAACTAGATGGACTTGTGTCTTCTTTCAGCCAGCTTAACCATGTAACTATGTATTCTTTACAAGTCCTGTTCGTTCATAGGCCAGGTACCACCGTGCACCCTTTTAGAGTAACTTCAGTGCAGGCTTTAGAACAGTTAAAAAATGTACTCCATGTCATATAAAACACAAGCACAATGTAGTTCAACCCTAACTATTTTGTGACTGCCCAGGCATACCTGAAAAGTCCATAAATGGTGTCTTTCAAAACTGACAGATTCCTCCAAGAACTCTGGTATCTTTTAGGACTACATGACACAGCTGCCTTTTCTTTCAAGTCCCATGTGTTTGCTTCCCCCCTCAGGCCTAGCCTTTCTTCTATTTAGATATGGACCAGGAAAGAAGGCAGCAACCAAAAAGCCTGGGAACCCAGCATCCCAAAGCTTAATCCTTCCCAGCCGGGGCAGAATAACTAATTTAGTTGCACATAACATTCCCCCTTGTATTCACCTGAAAACACGCAGACTGTGTGGTGATGGGCTGTTACAATGTGCTTTTTCAGAGTATCACACTGTTTACATTTGTTTCTTTATAAAAGCAAAATTATACACACCTTCTCTCCAGTGCTGTGATGTCCTGGAACTCCCCACTAGTTGCTGACATCTTCAGCCTGGTGGCTTCTGGGTATCAATCACTTCCATTGGCCGGGCCAAGATGATGTCACTTCTGTGAATGCACGGGAGTTCAGTCATCTTGGAATTGCCGAAACTCTTGCATTGAGTTGTGCAGCTCAGTGTATGGGGGTGGACAGGCAGGTGAGTAAGTTTAATGCAGAAGAGATGCCTCCTCTGCCATACAAATTTTGCCTGTTTGCTATTTTGTTATAGGTAAAATTCCACTTTAAAAGTTATGTACCGCAGCTGAACTGAGCTGAGCAGTGCAGCGAAAAGCAGTGATACATCAGCATTTGCCTGTGTTGTGGTGTGAACCCTGGATCAGAGTTATGTGTTACTATGGTGCCATGACCATGGTGTAGACAAATTGGCTGCCATCACCATAGCAATGAATAATGCAGGGCATCTTGGTCGTAGTGCATCATTGGTTGTTATGGTGCTGGCAGCCCACCCACCCATGACATAGCAACTCATGATGCTAAACCAAGGCAAACTGGGGCCCACGCTCGTGGCACCACAGCAAAACTCAGGTGGCACCCAAGGATGCCCTGGCACACTGGTTGAGAGACACTGCTCTAGTGTACACTTATCAGTTATCTTTGCTTCTTTCTTCACCTTCTTTCTGACTTTCTATTTTCCTCCTTGGAAATGCATTCACATGGCAGGTTTAGTCAGTGTCAGGAGTTGTCACGTGACAGGGAACTCTGAAGCGTCACTATAGCAGCTGGTAGTGAAGGACACATTCATTGCTTCCTCATCATTTTCTTTAATAATTAACATCTGATTCTTTGTTCATTCCTCCAAGTGGACATTGATTGTAAGTCACTTGTATTAAGGTCGTATTAATAGCAGTTATTAAACACATTATGTAGAACAACAGGCTATGTATTTGGAATAATACATGAATCATGATAATTGCTCTACTGTTTATTAAAATTATATTTTCTTTAAAAACTACACTCATATTTAAAGTGATTCTGTGCAGTGGTTTTGCACAGAGCAGCCCCTTACCTCATCTTCTGGGGTTCCACACTGGCGCTCTCGGCTCTTCCTCTTCTCTGTGGCTTGCTATGGGGGGCGCTTTTGCGGGCTCAGTCCTGAGCCAGCACAGCACTGGATCGAGATTGGGCTCAGGTAAGTGTTTGAGGGGGTCTGGAGGAGGGGAGAAGCTTTTGAAAGGGTTTTTTTTTTACCTTAATGCAGAGAATGCGTTAATGTAAAAAACCTCGCCTTAACCTTTTGCTTACGGGGTACTTTCACCCCTTTCCTGCCCAGGCCAATTTTCAGCTTTCAGCACTGTCGTACTTTGAGTGACAGTTGCACACTCATGCAACACTGTATCCAAACAAAATTTTTATCATTTTTTTAAAACAGATAGAGCTTTCTTTTGGTGGTATTTAATCACCGCTGGGGTTTTATTTTTTTTCTAAACAAATGAAAAAAGACCGAAAACATTGAAAAAAAAAGGTTTTCCTTAGCTTCTGTTATAAAATTTTGTAAATAAATGATTATTCTCCTTCACTGATGTGCGCTGATGTGGCTGCACTGATAGGCACCGATGAAGCTGCACTGATGAGGATGCACTGATGGGCACTGATGAGGATGCACTGATGAAGCTGCACTGATAGGCGGCACTGATGAGGATGCACTGATGAGGCTGCACTGATATGCAGCACTGAGGGGAACGGATATGTCACACTGATAGCTGGCACTGATGGCACTGATAGGCGGCAGTGCTAGACAGCAGCGATCTGATGGGCACTGATAAATGGCACTGATGAGGCACTGATAGGTGGCATTGACAGGCATCAGGGATGAGCACTGATAGCCAGCACTGATGGGCACTGATAGCCAACACTGATGGGCACTGACAGGCATCACTGATGGGCACTGAAAGGTGGCACTGATGGGGTTACACTGCTATTCAGGGAACTGATTATCAGTGTAGATGTCCCCTGTGTAGATCGCCGCTTACCGTCTCTCCTCTCCACACGCTTTGTCGGTGTGAGGAGAAGACTGCCGATAAACAGCATTTCCTGTTTACGCTGTGATCAGCTGTGATTGGACGCCGCTGGTCACATAGTAAAGGGCCGCTCTGATTGGCCCTTTACCACGATCTGTGATCAGCTGTGTCCAAAGGACACAG